GAAGCCGCGGCTTAGCGTGAGCTGAGGCCGGGCAAGAGTGAGCTGAGGCGGCGGGGTCGAGAACGGCGCGCCCGGCGGATCCGACGAATGAGCGGCAACCACATGTGACGACCCCGGGCTGGAGTCCGCTTCGTCCACGGTGAAAGCCGATCCGGCGATCCACAGCGCGAAGTTGATGTATTTCCTCCGCGACCAGCACGGATCAGCTCTAGGCATGACGAAGCGGATATCGTCCTCTTTTGGAAGACCAAACAAAGTAGTTTCGCTTTCACAACGAAGCACACAGCGTCTTCACGACATGGCTGCAGCGTCAACAATACTACAGCGAGAATAAAAGTTACGCCTTCTTTCTTTGCGTGAACATTTGGGCGGCGTTATGCAAATCTTCCCACATCGTGACGTAGACATGTGGGGGCGTGTTAGAACGAGCCGTTTTTTTTAGGTAGGTGTGGCTGACTCTTAACTTTTATAAAGAATATCTCTTTGGATTTGAGACTTTAGTCTTTGCAACTTTACAGATCGTCTTTATGCACCAAGAGCTTGTAACACTCCAAAGAGAAAGGAAAAATTTTAATCGCATCATATGACCCCTTTAATAGAAAGATCACATAATGTTTGTTTTTCATGTTTTATAGCATTTTATGCATTTTCGGTACAAGCCAGTTCTGCCGGGACGAGGGGTCCCTGCTGCAGGTTCACCAGTAAAGAAAATTACTCATTACAATTCACTTGTGGCGCTTTTCCACTGCATGGTACGGCACGGTACGGCTCGGTACTGTTCACTTTTTTGGGGTTTTCCACTGGGTACAGTACCTGGTACCTGGTACTTTTTTTAGTACCACCTCGGTTGGGGTTCCAAGTGAACCCACTCTAAAGCGGTACTGAACTGCAGTGGAAACGCATGCCGTGCCGTACTGAGCCGTACCGAGCCGAGTCGTGCCATGCAGTGGAAAAGCGCCATTGGAGGACCACAAAAGCCATGCAGTGGTGCATGGAGGTATGGTGGGAGCATTTCTCTAGATATTGATTGATTTTTGTGGTTTAAAATCATAAATGTTTGTATGTAGAATCTACCATGATGAGGTAAATACTTTTTAGTGGACACATATGGCACCCCACCCCACCCCAACAACGCACACATATTCTCTATTTTTAACAGGACCTAAAGTGGAAGTTCATAAGGGACATTGCTCCAGCGTGGTGCTGGATGCAGAGTCACTGTGAGTTATTGGGGAGATGACAGGCCTCTGAAGGTCCAGAGACAGAGACCTGAAGGTCCAGAGACAGAGACCTGAAGGTCCAGAGACAGAGGCCTGAAGGTCCAGAGACAGAGGCCTGAAGGTCCATGAGACAGAGGCCTGAAGGTCCAGAGACAGAGACCTGAAGGTCCAGAGACAGAGGCCTGAAGGTCCATGAGACAGAGGCCTGAAGCTCCAGAGACCTGAAGGTCAGAGACAGAGGCCCGAAGGTCCAGAGACCTGAAGGTCAGAGACAGAGGCCCGAAGGTTGAAGCTCCAGAGACCTGAAGGTCAGAGACAGAGGCCCGAAGCTCCAGAGACCTGAAGGTCAGAGACAGAGGCCCGAAGGTCCAGAGACCTGAAGGTCAGAGACAGAGGCCCGAAGGTCCAGAGACCTGAAGGTCAGAGACAGAGGCCCGAAGGTCCAGAGACCTGAAGGTCAGAGACAGAGGCCCGAAGGTCCAGAGACCTGAAGGTCAGAGACAGAGGCCCGAAGGTCCAGAGACAGAGGCCCGAAGGTCCAGAGACAGAGGCCCGAAGGTCCATGCCATGTTCTGTGAATATGTGTACTGCATATCAAGAACTGTTTATCTGATCATTCAACTGTTACACTAGCGTTCTCTATTCTTTTTTATATTCTTTTAACTTATTTTTATATAAAAAAAGACCCTTTAACACTAGCGTTCCCTATTCTTTTTCTATTCTATCTACTTGTTTTTCTTTTTATTTATTATATAAAAAAAGCCTTGTTACATGTACTGCGTTAGACTAACTGAGATTTGTCAAAGCACTTACATATTATTGCTCTTTTGTAGGTTTTGATTGCTTCTATTGTCCTGATTTGTAAGTTTTTTTGAGGATGAATGCATGTCTTGCAACCTTCATGTTTACATGGGTTTGATTGGCTTCTTCCAAGTGACAGTTTTTGATTTTTTTTCTAAAGTACCATAGAGTTTGACTGGATGTCCACAACATAAAATATGGGTATTGCTTTCTCCCCCTTTTCAAAGTTGCTATGCCTATTTATTTTGCAATCAAATCTATGCATCATTTTATTCTTAATTGTATTTTATTATTTGCATCTGAATTGTTTTACCTCTCAATGATCCCATCAGAACAGACCTACTTTAGTGTTTATTGACAGTGAGTAAAGTGATATAGAGTGGGTTATGTGAAGGGCACATTGAGTGAGCTGAAGAGACCGGGGACGTACAGCCTGTGGGCCGCTGCTTCTCTCTAGAAGTCTATTTAAAGTCACTTGGCTCTCTATACTGACATGATCTCCAGCACTGCACTCGTCTCTCTCTCTTTTTTTCTTTTACTCTGTTTATTTCTATTTCCATTTCTCTCCTTCCAAATACCTGGCTTATCACTCCTAAAACAAAATGTAGGCCTTGCAGGGTGAAGGGAAAGGAAATTAAATTCAGCAGAGATAGCTGGATGAATTAAAACTGACAGTGAACTGTGCCAAATAACCACTGGCATTTAAAGAGAAAACAGAGTCTTATGGGACAAAAGAATGATGGTTTTGTACTTTGCAGATGTTTCAGTGCAGACTTAATCTGGTAATAAACAGCTTTAAAATTGAAGAAAAAAATAAAATAAAATATATATTAATAAATAATAATTAATAAAAATCTACATCGCACAGCACTGATCTTTTTTAAATCCTCTTTCCCTTGTATGTCCCTCAGACAGTCCCTTACTTTTATTGTATTTTTAA